TACCGCAATTCACACCAGCATATAACAATAGCTGGTTGTTACAGTAGCACTGACTGATGTAGGTGTGAATATCCCAGAGAACATGAGTTTTCTGCTTTAAAATTGCAGATACATCCTACTGATGAACATCAAGAAACACGAAACCTTAGTAAAGCATGACTTTCGTCTGATTGATTTCCGACATTTAGTATAATAAAATATTTCAGAAGCCACTAGTTAACAAATAAAATCGTGGTCACATGTGCAACTTGAATATAAGTAAACAACCAAGATTGTGGATTCACTTTCGCAGTTTAAAATTTGTGTTTGATAAATGTATATCACATATTTTAAGCATTTTACTAATTACCAGAGCGTAACTATAAAAGTATGCCATTCTTGAAACGATCACTAGCAACGAGAATAAATGTATTGGTTTGGGGTTACGATTGCTAAAATACACTGAACCATTATAGATCTTGTAGTCCTTCTCCTTTTCGCACTAAATTTGTAAATAAAAGTACCATTTTTTCTCAGTTGTAAGTTCAAAATTATTCGATTGCCAATCAAAGACGTTAGGGATCTTGCAGTTCCACCAATACCAGTCACAATGATTCATTACAATCTTCAGTTCTCAAATGGACAAACAAAAGAAGCATGTGATAGTCTTTCGTTACATTTGGTTAACAAGATAGTAGCACTCCTTACAATTAACATTTGACACTAGAAAACAATTTAAGCGCATTTTATTCGATAAAGCCGTTTGCCTTTCAATGCCATTTAGTTGGTCCTGTTTAGACATAACCGATCAAAATCTTCACATTTCGAATATTTAGTCACCTCATAAATTATTTTACTTTGTCAAACTCCCAAAGAAGGAAGACATAAGTCTTTACAAGAACTGGCGACGAATTATCCTGCTGTCCACCCCAAGCAAAATATTTAGCCACATCATCCTGGAGAGACTCAAACTGCTCAGAATTCAAAATTACGACCAGAACAGGTGGACTGGCACGCTACAGGAAAAACAATTCATGTGCGGATCAAATTGCAACCCTACACTATCCATCATCATAGAACAGAGAGTAAAATGGCAGTCAACTAGATATTTACCTCAACTTCAACGACTTTGAAAAGGCCTTCGATAGTGTTGACTGAGAAGTAATTTGGCAACTGCTCCAACACTACAGAGTACCACAAATCTTTATCGACCTCATCCAACAGCTATATGACGACGCCACATGTCAAGTGATCCACGGTGGAAAGCTCAGTGATGCCTTTGAAGTGAAGACACGAGTAAGACAAGACAAGGCTGCCGCATACTATCACCGATCATCTTCCTGATTGTGGTTGACTGGACTGGATGGATCATGCAACTAACTGTGAGGAGCTGTGAGATGGGTATACACTGTTTGACCGATGAAAAGACACTAGAAGAGTTGGATTTCACCGATCATGATTTATGTCTAATATCTTGTTGCACAAACTCGAAGATCTACAGGTGAAAACCAACAAGTTGGCAGGAGAGGCACGGCAGCGAAGACGGGACTTCAAGTGGACGTAGAGAAGACAGAGATGATGAGGATACCAAACCAACAACAACAAGCACCAATCACCATGAACGGGAGAAACCTTAAGGGAGTTGTCTCTTTTACCTACCTATCTACCTAGGCAACATCGTTTCAACTACAGGCGGCAAAGGCACAGATGAAGACGTCAAAGCCAAGATCGGAAAAGCAAGACAGGGTTTCATTAACCTCAAGTCAGTGTAGAGCTCTCTACTGCACTGCACTGCACTGCACTCAGCATAAAGAACAAGATCCAGATTTTCAACATTAGTGTCAGTCGAGTCAGTGCTGCTATATGGTTCAGTAACTCGGCGCGTTACGAGAGCATTTCCAACAAACTACAGACATACATCAACAGCTGTGCCTACGGCTTACTCGATACTGAAGACTAGGTGGTTAGAATAATAAGAATAAGTAACAAGGAACTCTGACTGACTGGCAACGAACCAACCAAGAACCTTTTACCTAACAAATATGCAGGAGAAAGTGGAGATGGATTGGACTGGACACACACTGAGAAGACCGTTTGTGAACATCACGCACCAGGCCATGCCAGGTCGTCGAGTTGAAACCAAATGGGAAAGGACGAGTTGCGTGTTCGAGTGTGACATGGAGATCATGTGAGGAAGAAATGAAAGCTTCTAGGCGGTCGTGGAGCCAGGCTGAAAAGACTGCAGAGAAGAGAGTGAAATGGCGACGTGTTACTGAAGCTCTATATGTTCCACTGGGAACCCAAGGGATAAATAATAATAAATCATAAATTATTTAAAGTAGTCATCTGAACCTGATTAGCTGCGTATCACTCAGTCATTTCATATAGTTCGGATTAAAGTGGAGAAGATCAAAAATATTCATACTGATAATGATGAACTGAAAATGTCTGTCGACATTACAGCTGTATACACCTTAATTGGACAGAAATTAGCTGAGAATGAAATAACTCTTCTCATTACGAATGACAAATCTATCAGAACACGCCCGGCAAAAATGTTCAAGTTTGATAGCATTAACTGATTAATATCTTACAGAATATTTCCAAGTCAATGGCAAACCCTACAAAGAGACAGGATGAATATCAATGAAATCGCCCATATTAGGACCGAATGCAGAGGCAACAATGTAAAGATTGGGAATTGTCGTCTAACCGTTGATAAAACTACAAGTTTGTGTTTGATGTGTAGATGATTCGTCAGTCATCATTAAAGGTAACGAGCAAAGGAACACTTACAAATTATTCTAATCAGCAACGTTTTTGACTATATCGAAGTCGCAACTAAAGTGGTATTAAATAAGCTCGTATTTTTAGGTGTCCTGATCCCCTGAAGTAATTCAAATAAATTGTAAGCTCAATTATGCAGAAAAGCAACTCACAAAACTGAATTACAGCAGCGATCCAATAACATACAAAACCAGTTACGCAAAAACATTGTCTGACAACGAAGACATGATAAAGTCTATAAACCCTACGGAGAAACGAAGAAGGCTATTGAATGGCTGCCTTTTGGGAGAGTGGCTATCCGCACAAATTCATCAAAAGATGTTTTTCAAGCTCGCCGTGACTCCTGGAAACCATCAAACGGATTTTTCAACTTTATGTGTGAAGAACGTCTCTGAGGTGCCAACTATATTACTGTAGCCTTTCGGATTTGATGTATCCCCAAAACCTACAAAATCTCTCTACTCCAGGTTATGCGAACTGAAAGACACAAGTTCACTGCTACCTACACAACAAGTTGCAGAAACTGTAAAAGACAACATATCGAATAGAGTGGACATCAACTTAGTATTTGTTTACATGAAAATCAACTAGCAATGAAATGTCACTATCTTCGCCCACATCAACCCATATAGACAATTGTGGATATGAATTCGACCCGGATTGTGGAAATCCCGGATAGAGAAAACAAGAAGATTGCTGGAAACCTTTTAAAAGCGTGGTTAATACTTGTTGTTGATGCTGTGGATGTTCAGAGAGACTCGTTTTCTGAGATACTATAACTACTACTATTATAGTCTGCAAATGTATCTCGATCGGTTGTCCTGACGATATGAACTTTTACCTGCATTTTATTATGGCTTCATAAATTGGGCCAGTATCGATGTAGAATAGATATTTCAGCAAAGAGTCTCTTTTTGGCGATTTCATTCTCAAAGCTTTACAATCACAAACTTATATATTCTTCTCGTGTTAGGATTTGATACTAACCCGATTTATAAAAAGATAAGAAAAACTAGAAACAATGAGAAGGTAAAAAATCGCGTCAGCAGGACAGGTAATCTGGACATCCACAACCTCAGGTACAAATATTTGATGCAATTATAGTGGAAACAACCAACCATACTTAAGGTTACCAGGACAGACTACAAAGCCACTTGTGGAAAAAACCTGTAGCTAACTTCTTTCGGAAGTTTTTGCCGATGATGTTGTCTAGAATGATAACGAAAAGGTTATGAATAAGCCACTAAGCTAGAAGAACACAACACCATCAAAATCATTCTTTTGAGCTACAAATATTCGCCATCATACATATATTAGAGTGGCGCCTAGAGAGGATTAGATTGAGAATAACACCATTTGTTTGCCTCATTCATTGTCACAAAGCACAAATAGTAATTCTCGTACTTTATAGTTCTTTTGACTGCATTCACTTATCTTCATCCTTCACCTCACTACCTTTTTACTTGATGAACTGACGTGAGGTGTGGCAACTCGGACCGTTACGCAGTAATGCCTGGTCCTATGTTGATGATGATGATGATGATGATGAAAACTAAGAATAATTGATACGAAGATACAGAAAGTATATAGGATCTAATGGCAAAAACGATAATAGTTATGAAAAAAAGGCAAATTAGAACGAAACTAAAGATGATATCACTTTCCTGTTTGAACACTACCGAACAGTTGACGTGAAAAATGACAGACAACCACCTCAACAGGGCAGCCATTGTAGTCAATAAGCTTTCTAGATCCCTGGGTAGAATCACGTCATACTAAAAAGTGTTTATCTGAGTAAATTTTTCTTTATTCAAAAGGAAGAATTAGTCAAATAGATGTATGTGAACATAACAAATCATCAATTGCGAATAGCATGGAAGGTGTACCTTGGGTTGTATACGATGACCATTGTATATGCAAACAGACGAAAATAATTATCCTGTCATACAATTATTTGATAAAATGGCTATTTTTTCAAATACATAGAAACGTTTTATCACTTATTTATTGTTAAACGAATTTTTATGTTATATATTATCTCATTTTCAAGATCGAATAACTAAAAATGAGATATAAGCCTCGTATTTACACACAGCACTACTACATATGAACATGTAACAAATAAGCAATAAAATATTTGGCACAATCGTCTCAGTATCCCACAGTCCATACTCGTGAAGGAAACTTAGAAAAGTATTACATTTTGAAAAATACTTTGCATATCATTTACTTACTACATTATTGCACTCTTTTTCTTTTCCGCGTATTATAACTGACAATTCCCTATGCTCATCATATTCATTGTAATGACTCATTGTGTTTAATATCTGCAAAAGGTGGAAAACAAATGTATATCACCGAATAAATTTAGCAAATTAGAAGTTTATGGTTTTATCTGTCATCACACTGCAGTGTGTACGGCATTTTCTTTCGAAAAAGGTATGCAAAGATCTGACATTAAACTCGAAGAATAGTCCCATTAAAATTTAATAAAATGGAGAACATCAAGCAACTAAACATCCAAAAGGCTGTTGGAATGATGAATAATCACTAAAAACATCGAACTGGTTCAAATAACTGCATATTGCAACAGTATGTAGAGAAAACCAAAAAAATAAAAAATAAATCGGAAAAAACAAAGAAAGATATGATACCTAGGATTTCAAAATGATAAAAAGTGAAAGCAAATGCTCTAGTGAATTTGACTTTGGCCCACTTCATTGTCTATCGTCAACCATTGATCCTAGTATGATCCCATTCAAATAGCCTACATATATCTTCATGATTTAGACTAACAGTAAGAAACTTCATTCAACACTGCTAGATCTTGGTTTACATGGCCAAAGCTTCGTAACAATCTGATCCCATATCAACTAACACTAAGTATCGATATAAAGACTGACTCGTCATGCACAATACACGCCGCAGCCAACTCAGTCAGTGCAGATTCACAATTTATTTCCGTAACCAAAAACTATATTCTAATCTCAACATTGCTGACTCTGTAGTTCTACTACAACGAATACTGCTACACTGAACTGCAATCTCATGTAGTCTATTACCAGTGGTCTTGTTTTACAGTTACATCAGAAAACAGATTTCTGTGAAGTACACCTGCTATCTAGTAAATGATTAAGTATCTCTTCAGTTCCCAGCATAATCAAATGGATGATGAGTGAAAATCTGCAATTCTGCGTAGTTTTGTGTACTGCGTTCTAAACTAAGCCTCTGTGTTAGCTTGTTAAACCACACGACTCACTAAGCCTCAGTGAGTATAGTGGGATTCACAGTACTAGTAAGCACAAAATATCAACACTTTTTGTACCTATTCCAAATTTCCGTCGACCATGAACGTGTAAACACTGTCGAGTCACTTAGCATAACATGATAAAGGTATTTTAGCCAACAACGAGAAGTATAGCACGACAGTAGCTTTCACTGCTATTATGTTAGCGGTGAATATAACTTCTCTACCTTCGTTACCTTTTTGTATTATTTGAGTGATAAAGCAATCGTTCTTTCCTAAAGTGCTAAACTACTACTGAATGTTAGAGCCGTTAAAACAATGTTGCAGACCTTGGTAATCTTGACACTGAAAAACGTAGATAAACCAGTGTCAAATATTAAGAAGCTAAGGATCAAATTTGAGGGGAAAACGCATATTTTTTCGTAACTCAACTGGTAATATTTGTGGTAAATGTTGAGCCAATCTATTTCTTACTTAATACACAAACACTATGACACTTTGTGTCAAAGCGAAAACCAAGTATTTATTCGTGTATCAACAATTATTTCAGTTTTGTGTGCACCGAAATAGACAATATTTCATTAATCGGCTTCCTAAAGCTTCCGATATTTGCTAAAACATTTGAGAATTCATTACATTCTGTTTTAACAACAAAACATCAGATCCAATGTATAAAATTCCATAATCCATCTATGTATAGGCTAGTCAGTACGTTTGTTAGATACTACAACTGTGCTGTCAGGATATAATTGTCAAATACACTAATTAACTTCCCACCCCAAGCATCTAAACTGATAACCAAAACAGATGAAAAGAACCAACAAGTTTATTAACTGCAAGTTTGGTCAACTACAGAGTTGGAAGTAAAATAGTCATCACGGTGACTTAAAATTATTTGATTTTTAGTTAACCATCTTACTAATAGGCTAGTTTTAGCAATGATAATAAGGAAAAGGTGTTCTTAGCAGTAAAAATAATACCAGTGCATTTCCTAACAAGGCATTTTCAAGCTCAACGACATTCTAAAAAATAAATCCAATGTCAAGAAATCCATTTTTACGTATGTTATTCCCAACCTCATTGTATCATTAGTAGGTTTTGTAACAGCCGTTTTGAACAGTGTGGGTGCTTCTTTCAGATGAAATAAGTTTTTCCGAAGTTCCAGAGATATCCTGCCAAGAATTACAGGAAAGTGAGAGAACCTGAATCGACGAGAACTTACCATTTCTTTAAAAGTACTGAAACATATAATTAAATAGAGAGATTGGATACGTCTTTCTGTTATGGATTAGACCATGGAATCATGCTCAGTGGTAGTGACACTAGCTTGTGACGTATCCAGACTCCTGTTGATGGTTGTTATCTGAAGTAACTTTCTGAAAGGTAATTTTTGCAACCCACTAACTTGGGTTCAGATAAACCTTTTATTAATGTGCGTCATGTTCTTGATCACAATGGAATATTACTGTAACATAATACGTGCCAGTATGCGTAGTATTTCCGCATACACTGCACAAAAACTGTCCCATTTGGTTGAAAGTTAACACTGTACAGTGGTTGCCAACTCTGATGATTTTCTTATGTCATTAGGCGATGCCACTTTTGAATCACTTAGTGAACTCTCTGATATCCACTGCTGTTCAAAAATGATTAGCTAGCTATTTATAAGTAGTACCTGTGAATCCAATAATAAAACAATAACAATGCAAATCAACCCGATTCAGATTTATTCACTGGGTTTCAGGCCATGCTTATTACGTGACAGCTTAGAGTAGAACGTTGTTGCTTACGTCAAAAGGTTGAAGACAACATTTGTCTGTTACGTTTATTTAAACTGCATCAATAACATGAAGAATCGATTTACAAATTATCAGATCATTTATATTAAATTAATGACCATTTTATCAGTATCATATAGGTTCATGCAAATACCAGCTGGCCACCTCAGCACTCAATAAAGCTGTTATTTCTGATATTTCCTTGTTCTAAATGCAGTTGTGGGTATGATCAGATGACCAGATTTTACTATTTCACTAATACAAGTTGTAATTCGGCAGAACATGCTGATGTAGGCACACATGGAGAAAGAGTATTCTTCTGTGGAAGCTTGCCTTTTGGAGAAGTCCTCTCATCTTCGAACAACGTGAAGTTAGTGCTGACGATGTCGTCTAGAAAGACGACGAAAGCTTCACGGTTAAACAACCCAGCTCAGAGAACACAATAAAACCAAACGTTCTAATTCATGAAAATACAGACGCTCCCACAGAAGCATTTAAGTGGGAACCAGATAGGTGGCTACAGACTGTGATCCACGACAGTTTGCGAATATTAGTCATTAAATCTTCATCTTCAACTCACAAGGCCAACTGCGTATGATAAAATAAAGTTACACGAGTTTAACGTACCCCCGATAAACAAATTACATCCGAGATCAAAGATGTGAGTTATACTAAACCAAGTCGGTTAACTGGTTTCCTACAGATTTTAGTTCGAAGCACGATTTAAATGCAAGTAGGATAAGTATTGGCAGATCAAAAGGTTGATCAATAATTTGAGCACTTAAAAACTGAACTTTAAACCAGCGTGACCCAACTGACAAACCACTAACTAAACAAAACTTTAACGGTCAGATGCTGTTATAAATCAACAAATAATTAATGTAGCTCGCAGCTTAATGCTAAAAACGTGAAGTTGGTGCTGTGATGCATCTTCGTTAGACCTTAGAATTACAAATTTAAGAATGAAAACTTTTACGGAAGAGTTCGAAGTAAAAGTGAGATTTCCAAGAACTTACTGATGATGCCCCTATTATATAATGCAAAGCTGTTATCCATGTAGAAGAAAATTAACTACTTTTGATTCTTGAGATAGTCAATGACACAATCTATAGCTTAGACTGCAAAATAAGGAACAAGTTTATCAACAACTGTAAAACTTTCTTAGTCAAATTGATTTTCGACCATATTTGATGCGAAAATATAATCATGAAAGTGAGTCTCAAGCAATATTGCCTAACTTAATCTATAGAAACATCTCAAAAAATATTTGACCGATACGAGATGGAAACAAAGAATGAAACCTTGGTGTATTTTGTGCCACATACACTCATATTGAACAGCCCATATTTTAACATTCTCAACTACAAGCTTTCGAATAAATTCTGGATGAGTCTAAAATTTCGAAGTTTAAAGCTTACATTTTAGAAGGCCAAAGCTTTTGAGGGAAGCCATCTATACTCTCAACAGTTGATTAGGTATCTGTACGTATATCAATTTAGATATATAAATAACAGTTACTCTATTTTACTTATTCCAATGGTAGATGGGTCTCAAAAACCCAAAACCGAACAGTTAGGATTTTACTTTCACTTATATTTTTCCACAAGATATTATAATCTTTTTGTCGCTAGTAGGTAGATCAAACTCTTTTATTAAAAAAACGCTACACGACTGACAACTTTTGTACATATTTACTGACGCAGCTTATTACCGCATAACGAAACCAGAACAATAAGGATAAAAATGTCGGGTGCCTAGAGTCAAGCTGGTTTTGAATGGAAGCAGCTTCTACCATATGGCGTGGGATTTAAAACCCAAAATACCCGGATAGACAGAGACACAAGGTATTGCTTCATTTTTACTCGACAGTAAATAGCTACATCAATTGGTGATCTCTTCAGAGGTCACGCTGGAATGTTAGACTAGGCTCCTGAATTGCCAACAGCTCTAACCTCAAATAATGGCTTCTAAGAAGTCAAATATCAAAATTCGGAATAAGTGGTATTATACATGTGAAACAGCTACCACATTATAGAGCACAAGTTACTAACTCGCTAACTCACACTATGATCACAGCAACTCATACACAACACCGTCCATATACAAAATTCCGCCGAAATAAAACCAGTGAGAGAGGTTTAAGTTAAAGTTATGCAGACTTAAAAATGGAAAGGTTGATAAAAATAGTGTGACTATAGTTCTCGAGACTTTAATCATACTTCCATTTTTTAAAACAATGAATTATTTATCTTCTTCGATCGCTTTGAAATGTTGAAATGTGACTTCGGCATGGAAGCGGCTTCAGTATACACCGCCGACAGTGACAGTAAAGAAAAATGATGCTGTAGGAGCTGTCACATCCAGATCTTGAGACGGAGTTTGGGTATGTGGTTATGGGTGGGTCGAGAAGATGGGGAGAAAAATGAAAGGTACTAATAGGGACGCAATAGTTTTACTGGCAGTAATGCTAGGAAGCATGGCCACCAGCGTGGTTGCTGGGATAGGGCATAAGGGAGGCGGAATGACCTGCATTCAGTTACCATTGAAGTGTATTGTTCGCAAGCTGTTGTGCTCACACACATGTCCGGCATTTTCTTGAAAGATTTGACTTGGCGAGTTGCCACCACTTCTTTCAACTGAGCTTCCCATAAGGCATATGCTATCTTCTTAGCCCTCCGATGGGGTGTACGAGCAGGGTTTCCTTGAGCCTGTCAGTCTTCAGTCGATAACTTTGTCCTGCTACGATGACTCACCTAGTTTTCGATCATGTAAGCTGTTTTGGGTAGCCTCTTTCCATTCGATTGTGCTAGACAGACAGTCCGGATCATTTTAACTGTTAGCAATACCATCTCCACGTCAATTTGAAAGCTGGTCTTGTCTCTTTTGTCTGTACTTTCTTGAGTGCGCGTTTCTCTTCGTTGGAGGGAGTGGAATCCTGCTGAACAACTCGAAGTGTAGTCCGAGGCAGGTTTCCGTAACCGTGAGGTGTGGTTCGGCAGCAAAGGTTCCTACCACCCTCTCACAAGTCGTACGACTGCTCATGTCTTTTCGCCAACCTTTGATAGTCGTTCCGGTATCTAGTATATTCCAGTAGCCTAGCCCTTGATCGTTCTTCATAGGAGTATAGGTACCTTTCACGACCTCCAACATTAAATGATGCAAAATCTTGCACTGCTCAAAATTGAAGCTTCAGACATTTCCGGCTGTATATGGCTTCAGATGCAGTGAGTTGCCTTTGAGTATCCACCAATCCCCTGGCTTACTTGTCCACCATGTCTTGATGTCACTTGCAAATGACAGGATAGATGAAGAGGCTTATGCGGAGAGGTCATTTGTGAATGTGGAAAACGGAAGTGACCTAAAAGCTACTCCAACAGATACCTGTATACTTGAGCTTCCTCGAGGTCACTGAATTCCAATTGATTCGGTGAAGAGCTGACTGCCCTCTTGATATGCTTTGAACCAAGCCGTGAGTGGTTCCGTAGTGTGTGCCTTCGTAGTTTTAGTCGATAAGGTGTTAGTTTGGATTCAGTCAAAAGCTTTGGCCTCATCCAGAAAGACCACGTTTACTGCGTGCCTGCTGTCCCATTTAGCGGCGCGGTTATCTCGAGTGAACATCCAGTTTCGGGTACACAACTGCTCAGTCCTGAAAGAGCCCTGCATTCGTGAGGTGGGGTTGTTCCTGTTTAGGCAGTGCCAAACAATATATACAACCAGATTTTCCAACACCCTGGATAGTGTAAGCCGTAGAGCTGTCGGTCTGTAATTCCTGAGAATTCCAAAGTGTACTAAAAAATAATTTGGAACAAACCGTTTGTTATTGCTATCATTAAATTGTCTGGACGGTTTTGGTCTACTCATTGTAAACTTTGGTGAAAGGATAGTGTGCTCCCATTCTTCGGTGAGTCGACTTACTTCCAACATTTGGGCAAAAAGGCTGCATGTTGGCACGCCTCTTGGTTCGCCCTAATTTTGTAGGGTCGTTTGTCCCATGACATCATAGCCTGAACGCCCGTCTGGTCTACTTGTGATCAGTTTCACAGACGCTTGGTTTGCATCATAATAGGGGAACTGTGTTATGTGACTGGTCGTTGGTGGTGAACAGAATATAGTGTTGAAGCGTTCATAAAATGGGCTGCTCAACAGTTCATCTATCGCCATGCTACTCAGAGCTTCTCCGCTCGGCCCTAACGTAAGCTCACGCTTTAGTTGGTCTGTTTTCATTGCGGCACAAACCAACACATGGCATCACTCTACACTTTCTGACTGACAGAAACTCCATCCAACATATCTTGATTGAGTACATCAAAGTGATAGTTTTCGGACTCTAATGTTGATAAATCAGGACTATTGGTTTGTTCCATCGTACTGTTCCGGCGAGTGTGGAAATCCTCTTCTCCAGCCTGTGTTTTGCTTTTGAGACTTCAACCCCCTTCATTTTATTGGATAAAAAAGTAAATTACCGGTGAGGATTGAAGGACATTTTTGCGATTCCTGCTTGTTCGATGACCGGAAATTTCTTTGGGAGCTACGACTTTGTAAATTGGCAGAGGAGAGGGAAGGAACCCCGCTGGGTTTAGCAGAAACGAAAAAGAACTGAAGCTGTGTGTATAAATACAAAATACATGACTGAGGAGACAATGTAGCGTCACACAAATGCCGTACTGCGTTAGCACGGTCAGAGACAATGTGAGTAGGTCGGCGGTAGACCATCCATTCCAACCTGTTCCTCTGGTAATCTTTCGAACCATCTCACTGCGGGCATTTACCTGCCTCCCGTGACGGAGCACGTCATGGAAGATGTGCTCATGGTGTAACAGGATGAGTGGTTCTCAGGTAAATAACAGCTGCGTTTAGCAAGTCGCTCTCCCACCGCACAGTAAGTATTCTGTCCCAGAGAAATCTCTGGACTGTACAGTTACCCATTTGCGTTGTAGAAGTAATTTTGTAATTCTGACACTTGTCGCTGTTTAATGCTACCATATAACCATCACATCAACTCGTACTTTGATACTGTTGAAAAATAATCGCTGGTGATGGACGGCCTACGTAAGCTTGGAAATCAATGAGAAAAAACTCAGTAGTTTGTCTAGATTGCTCTAGCTTGGCTCTGTTGAATTGTTTCCCTCCTTCAGATCAAATTACTTGGATTTTGGCGGTGACGCTTGGTGGGGAAGAGCCAAACCAGGCCTTAATGTTGGTAGCTTGGTGTGCCACTCCTACTGCTTTCTTATGTGGCTCTTAATTTTAAGTTTTTATCGATTGTTTAAGAAGATTTTTCAGGCGACGGGCAATCATACATACCGTTTTCCGGGTTACTTCGCTTATTACATTAGATAGGGGCGAATGGATCAAGTTTCCAGTGATGCTCAGGAGGAGGTTCGCCCTGCATAAATAACATATAAATATTTAATTCTCATATTAGGGGTTTAACATCGGAGAAACCAGTTTACGGGCATCATCAAATTGATAATGGTGGGGAAATCTCTATTACTTTACCTAACCCGAGTGAAACAGAAGGAATTTGCGTGAACATATCAGTCCTCGTAGTGTGACCTTACTCAGGAATACAGATGTAAGCTGTCGGAATAAGTTGTTGTGGTGCAAAGAAATAAACATCTGAAGGACTATTATCCAACGGTGATGGCGTTTTACGCATAGGATTCACATTGAAGCATACAGCGTTATCAAGGAGGTACGTTGACTGTTAATTGTCTTCTGTGAAAAGGAGTCAAATGAGGTGAAGTCCTGGAAAAGTCTGTTTGCAAACTTGTCTCACTTTGAGTCACTAGGTGAGTTTTTTTCTTGGATTTAGTTGTTTGTCAAGGTTTTTAATGCTGTTATGACCGTCCAGAAACCTTAGATCATTTATTGCAGTCGGGTAGCATCTTGTATGTTGGTAACTGGGCAGTTTTGCTGTGGAACTTTTAGGAAAGTTGAAAGTCAGTAGAGGAAAACCAGTTAACGAATTCTTTCAATAATTTCTGGTATCACTTACAAAATAGTATATTCAGTAAGTTGACGTTTTTGGCCAAAATTATGCTCAAGAAATTCTCCACAAACTTAAGCTATGAAGAGAAGAAAAAGAAGGAAAGCATGGGCAGAAACCGGAGAGTGGTCTAACACACAAGACGAAATCGGAAAGAGAGAAGTTTCTATCTTCTTATAAGCACTCGGGCTATATTTACACTTCAGTTTATGCGCATAAAAATAACTCTTGAGATCTTCTTACGCAAAGTTCGTACAAGTTTTTAGATAGACCGTGTTTTATTTTTAGAAGGAGGAGGAAAACTGACTCTATATCAAGGCAATATGTACATTTCGAATGTGAACTTTTCTGACTACACAACCTGAGCTAGTGGAATATCGGTCAAGCGCCCTAAGCAACAATGTTTGGGCCCATTAGAGCAAAAGTAATTGGGATTGGTGATAGCCTTACTTCACATGTCTAGGGGTCCTAGCATGTTCTCATTAGCCCAGAACGTGTGGATAGTGCCTAGGCGAGTGAAAGACTAGCCATGTGTGAGCAGCTTATTAACTGAGGAGCGAAGTACAGATAATGAACCCGCAGTAAGTATTTTCTCGGGAAGTCTATTCCAGATGTGAGAGAACTTACTGGGGAAGAAATTACCTCGTACATCGGTTTTTCGACACTCAGTTTTGGCTAACAGTTTGCAATTACGCACAATGTAAGCAGATGTTACAACTATTTTAATTTCTGGGCCACATGAACGCATTTGCTTACGAAGTAATTTACAGCCAAATATAAGATTCATCCCAAGTTGCCTCTTCCAGAGAGGCTGCGGTCCTAGCGTGTTGCATCTGAAGATGCAGTCAAGTCTGCAGTCAGCTCCCAGTGTTCTTAATGTAACGTGGCGTTGCGCCCTTCCGATTTTTAGTTTGTCATCTATTCGAAAGCCACTTATGACGAATGAACAGTTTTCTAGAATTGGACGAGTGCATACTTTGTAGAGTAGGACCCTTGATCCGGCAGTATAAAAGTTACGCGGGATTCACCTCAGGAATCCATGTGACTTAGGTGTAAAACAAGCTTATTGCTTATTTCATGGGTGCAATATGAGTATGCAACCTTGAGGTCATCAGC